AATGTAAAGTATACACTGAAGAAGGTGCAGGAAGCTCTAACCCTAGTGGAGGATTGGGGAAGGAAATGGGGGTTTAGATTGTCTATTTAGAAGACTAAGACTATGTTTTTTACTAGGAGGAAAATAGATGAAAGTATACAATTGAAGTTATATGGTAGGAATTTAGAAAGAGTGGAAAGTTTTAAATTTCTTGGTGTGTTTTTTGACACAAGACTTACATGGAGGGAGCATGTTTCAAAAGTAGTAGACAAATGTAAAAGGGTAATGAATTTAATGAGATGTCTTGCTGTAACAGAATGGGGAGCAGATGTAGCTTCTTTGAAGCAAATTATGTATATTTAATTAGAGAAAGAATTGAATATGGGTGTTTTGTTTATGGATCTGCAGCCAAGTCAGTTTTAGCTGGATTAAAAATAGTTCAAGCTAAGGCACTGAGAATATGTACAGGAGCTGTGCGATCTTCCCCAGTGTGTTCCTTGCAGGTAGAAACAGGAGAAATGCCACTCTGTTTGAGAAGACAGCAACTTCAGGCTAACTATTGGGTCAGCTTGATGGGTCAAAGGTGTGATCACCCAGTTAAAGCAACAATTCAAGGTAAGCTGTGAGAGAGAGATGGCAAGTCTTCAAAGTTTTGGCTGGACAGGGGAGGCATTGGCCCAGGAAATGTCTATACATGATAAGAACTTTTGTCCAGGAGTACTGTGGCCATCAGTTCCTTTATGGCAATTGGAGGTCCCAAAGACTGATTTAGAGATACTTGGGATTAAGTCAGAGAATCCGGAATCAGATTTGGTGCATGAATTTCAGTGTCATATAATAGAAAGATATCAGGAGCACATATTAATCTTTACTGGTGGTTCAGAAGATCAGGAAACATGTGCTACAGGAGCAGCTTTTGTTGTTCATAAGTGGAATGCCAGAGTTTGTACGAGAACCTCAAATTTCCTAAGTGTGTTTTCAGTGGAATTATATGTAATCCTGATGGCAGTGCAATAGACTGAGCAGATCCAGAACCATAAAGTGTTGATATGTAGTGACTCTGTGTCAGCTATTAATAGTATTGGGAAAGGGACCTCAAAGAGTCGACAAGACCTTATATGATATTCTTCTGGCAATTAGAGATGTGAAAAGGAGAGGGGTTGAAATATCATTTGTATGGGTCCCATCTCACTGCAACAAATGAAAAGGTTGATAAGTTGGCCAATGAAGCTGCTCAAAAGGAAACAATAGATGTCAACTTAAATCTGTCCAAAGCGGAGGGTAAAAGTATTGTGTGGCAGGGAACAATTCTGAAATGGCAACAGCTCTGGGAGGCAAGAAAACAAAGGGAGGCACCTATGCTCTATTTCTAGTATGGTCACTGATTCAGTTAATGTTTGTAAAGGAGAAGAGGTTAGACGTAAGGAAGATGTTACTATTTCTAGAATGAGGATTGGTCACACGTTTCTGGCTTGTGTTCATGTCAGGAACCTGAGAAAGTGCAACATGTTTTGATTTCTTGTAGAAAGTATGACAAGTATGGAGGAAGAATCGGAGTGTTTGCTGCTCAATGCGACACTCGCAAGCGCCGTATGGTAGATGTTTACAGTTCTGAACACGTTTGCGGCAGCAACATGGCAGTGGACAGTGTGAGGATGCGAAATTCATATATGGCCGTTTAATATTTAGTGTTTAGGTTTAATTATAATAATGCGTATGGTCGGGTTGCGGAGAGATTGTGAGATTGTGGTTAGGTCTCAGCAGCAGGAGGGATGTAGAGGTCAGTAAGCTGGGCTGAGTTGAGTGGGGGACGGAGGGGGGTGACTCTGGGACGCCAGAGTCACTGTCGAGCCCTCTTGAGGTGTCGTGGGCTAGTCGACGAAACACTGAGGACGGCAGGTGCCCACTTGAAGACCCTAGAGATGTCCCCTACTCGGTTCAATCCAGACGGTTGTCGTGCTGGTCCTGTAGTTGCAGCCGTCGCGTGCGCTGACGCGCCAAGTACACTGCTGCCGTTAACGCCGGACAGAAGGGGAGTCACACCACCTTATGGAAAGAAGCGTAAATGGATGGAGAAGCATAGTTTACTGTAAAGCTACGTCTTAGTTTTGCTTATCTTGGCGAAAGCCGAGTACAAATCAGCATGAAGTTAACATCTACTCTCGTGTAATGGAAATCATGAAGATCTGGATACATCCAGTGACTGCGGTGAATAGTGCTGCTGGCAACCAGGGAAAGACCTTGTGACAGCCTGGAGAGACAGCTGACAGGAGGAAAGAGACCCCAATGGGGCTGGTAAGGGTTAGCTACCCTTGTCGGCAGTATCCAGCTCCGTGTTTACAGGATGCTGGAGACACCCGCCCAAGGCTTCTGAGAAATTAAAGAGAAAAATACCCCTAGAGTCTGCGAGAGCGGGGGCGGAAGATGACTCAATGTTGGACAACATGGTTAACGACTTAGGAATGGAAACGGATATGAGTATGGAGAGTAAGACTAGTTCAAGATCTGCAGTAAGTAAAGTCATTGAACTCCAAGTTTGTGTCTGTGGCTGGAGCAAGACGACAACGGTCAGGGGTTTGAAGGTTCATCAAGGGAAAATGAAATGCTTGAGGGAGAAGGGACAAGGGCCTCGCATTGATCAGTACTTCTTACGAAGTCAGTCAAGTCAGTCGAATGAAATCCAGCAACAGGAAGCAAACCACAGCTCGCAGGATATCAGCACCCCTGTCATTGACGAAAGGAGGGCTTGCACAGTTAGTGATGAACATATTCATACTTGTGAACCCGGTCAGGCTAACCAGCATAAGAGAGAAAAGAACCTCAACGGGCATAGGCCTGGAGTTAGATGGCCAAGAGCTTGTGAGAAAACTGCATGGGACACGGTAAACACAGATCTATGCTTTGCATTGGAAAGATTAACTGGTACAGTTGAAAAGAAGCTGGATAAATTTGGGGACATCATTTACGCATATGGAAGTGAGAGGTTTGGTGTGGAAAAAAGGAAGGAAAAAGTACAAACTACTCCTGGAATGTCTAGACGGCAGCAGAAAATTGAAGGGTTAGTTAGAGAAAGGAGACAGCTGAGGAAGCAATGGAAAAGAGCAGAACAAAGTCAGAAGGAGGGACTCAATCTCTTACAAAGGGCCATAAAAGATAAGCTGGCAACATTACGCAGAGCTGAGCGCCTACGGAAACGCTACAAAAAGAAGGAACGTGCGAGGGCTAATTTTTATAAAGACCCATTCAAATTCATAAAGAAGTTATTCACCAGTGAGAAGAATGGCACTTTAAAAACATCTAGGATTGAGCTAGAGAGATATTTGGAGGACACGCATACAGATGCAAAAAGGCATGAGCCTATGTCAATTCCATCAGACATACCACCTATCAACCCACCAGAATACCAAATGGAGGTCTGTGCACCTAAGTGGAAAGAGGTAGAGCAGACTGTGAGAAAGGCAAGGGCTTCATCATCTCCAGGGCCTAATGGAGTTCCGTACAGAGTGTACAAGAGTGCTTCAGGAGTTCTACGAATTCTGTGGAAATTGATAAAAGTGGCATGGGAAAAACAGGTTGTACCTAGAGCATGGCGCAGAGCAGGTGGAGTCTTTATACCTAAAGAAAAAGATGCTACAAGCATCAGTCAGTTTCGTCCTATTTCACTATTAAACGTTGAGGGTAAGATTTTCTTCAGCATTATTGCCCAGAGATTGTCCACCTACCTGTTAAAGAATGGCTTCATTGACACTTCAGTTCAAAAAGCGGGCATTCCAGGGTTCTCAGGATGCTTAGAACACATCAATGTTATCTGGCAACGAATTCAGTCAGCTAAAAAGGAGAGGAAGGAGCTCCATGTGACATTCCTGGATTTGGCTAATGCATATGGTTCAGTGCCACATGAGCTTCTTTGGGCAGCATTTGATTTTTTCAGAGTACCAATGTCAATAACAAATTTAGTGAAAGCCTATTTTGGAGATTTGCAATTCAGGGCCCTATTTTAACGATCTGAAACGCAAGTGTCAAAGCGCAAAGCGCAAGTAACTTTGTGGGCGGATCCCGGCGCTGTTGCTATTTTCCCGGCGGGATAAATGCCTCTTGCGCCTGGCGCAAATCTAAAAGGGGTTGGTCTGAAGTAGCTTCATTATTCATAGGTGTGGTTTGGGCGTAACGTGAAATAAACCAATCAAAGCGTCATCTCACATTCCCTTTAAGAGCAGGCGCGCTTGTTCTAAAGCGGATTCCTATTATAACGGCGGATTTGCCAGGCGCGCGCCAGGAGCGGTTCACAGCCGAGGAGAGCAACGTTCTCGTCAGGGCCGTAAAACACAGAGAAGTGACATTGGGGATGTAGAAACCCACCCAAATTAACTTCTGTTAAACAGGCGTATGATAATTTGGGTAAATGTGTAAGCTACATGTATGCTTTTATAATAAATTGCCTATCTATCTATCTATCTATCTATCTATCTATCTATCTATCTATCTATCTATCTATCTATCTATCTAACTATCTATCGTAATAATGTATGATTTGCAAAAATGAAAACTGCTGCTTAGATGAGAGAATCAAAGTGTATGCGCGTTGTGCACACGCTACATTGATTATGGCCAAGCATGCGCCCTTAAAATAGCATAATGAACAACGCGCAACGCGCCACTGACTTTAGACTATTTTTTTCTGGTCAGTGGCGCATTTGTTACATAGAACAGCAAAATAGCATGAGGGAAAGTTTGAAGATACTGAGATCCAACCTATTTGTACTGAGGAACAAATAGGTTGGTGTCCATTCTTGATTCTTCATTGTTGACGCTTTGGTAGATGTGAATTAATAAGCAGTGTATGGATGACAAATGATACATCCAAATGATCAAAACCTTTATATAGCAGTTGTCAAACATATTTTAACTATATTAACAAGTGAATGACAGAATAACAAGTGAAAGATCTGATCTCTGTTACTTTCTGCTATTAAATAAGGGTTCACTTAAACTGATACTAACTGTATTTCTGTGTATTTTAGACCAGGTGAGAGTGAAAGAGCAAAGACAAGAACTGAATGAAGTGAAGGAGGAACATCGTAACTTTACAATTCAAAGAACAAAAGCCAAAAAGACGCACACCTGCACTCAGTGTGGAAAGAGTTTCACACAGAAAAGAAACCTTAACACACACATGAGAATTCACACTGGAGAGAAACCGTATACATGCACTCAGTGTGGAGAGAGTTTCAAATCTTCATCCACATTTAATTATCATCTGCTTCGTCATTCTGGGGGAATAACATTTAACTGTGATCAGTGTGGTAAAGATTTTATTTCATCAGCAAATCTAAAATCACACCTGAAAGTTCATTCAGATGAGAAGCCTTATGTGTGTTCTCTCTGTGGAAAGAGTTTTTCAAGGCTGAACAGTTTTAAACTGCACCAGAAAACAAATGATGGAGTGAGAGATCATGTGTGCTTTGACTGTGGGAAGAGCTTTACTAGAATTGATCATCTGAAACGGCACCAAAGAATTCATACTGGAGAAAAACCTCACAAGTGCTCATATTGTAACCAGAGTTTCACTCAGTCTAAATATCTAAAATCACACGAGCGAGTTCATACTGGAGAGAAGCCGTACGACTGTACTCAGTGTGGGAAGAGTTTCACCCAATCAAGTAGTCTAGTGACTCATATTAGAAAGCATTGTTCTGTGTCACAGTGAGCAAATGTTTTGTTAGATCATACCTGTCAACACTCCCGTTTTTCCCGGGTTTCTCCCGTTTTTTAGCCCTATCTCCCGGACCCCTCCCGGTTTGTTATTTCTCCCGGGAAACTCCCGTAATTTGCATGGCCCAAACTCCTTTATGAATAATCGGACCAATATGTTTGTCTAATGTTGACCAGTTGCCAGATTGTATTAAATGCATTATATTCACACAATCCACAGACCATTTACAATTTCAACCCGTTTGTCACCTCAACCTGGCAACCTATAACCCAGTTGCGCAGTCGCGGAAAGTTTAACCCGAAAGCGAGCCGATAGACATGATGGCAGGTGAAGGTGGTGTCCCCGCAATGAAACTGAAGTACAGTTTGTAACGCGTTGCTTCAGGAAGATTAGGGATAGCTCACAACTGAAGTTATTGCATGCAGAGGCCAGACAGACACACGGAGGCGATTGGCATCTCACAACTCGCACTTTATTCCCAAATCTAACTCACCTTAGAGAAATCTCCCGGATTTTGAAAACCAAATGTTGACATGTATGTGTTAGATTCACATGAAGTAAATGTGTTGTTAGTTAACTAATAAACTAGTGTTGCTGTGAATGCCACACGATTTGTGTTTTATAGAACAAGAAAGAAAATTATTTTGATTAAACGCTTATTTAAAGAAATACCAAAATAAAAAGGTAACGCTTTAGATTACAGCCCGGAAAGTACTGTGTAATTAAGAGGAATTTACAGTGTAACTTTCTATAATTATAGTGTACCTATAAAGTACTTACATGTCAGTATAAGGGAACAATATGTAAAGTTTGGGAAATAAAGGGGTAACAACCAGGAGAAATAAAAATATATTTATACTGTAAGTATTATAGAACTAAGGGGAACTTATTCTACTATTATGATACAACAATCTTACATTTGGGAGCAATTTAGCGAGAACATACACTGCATACCTTTTTATAATAATTGTGTACCAAGGCAATACATACTGTATAGGCTTTTTAAAAATGACAGGGTACATATCTATGCATTTATGGAAAAAAATATATACGTATATATATTTTTTTGATAGCAAAAGTGCAGATGTTTAAGTTTGGGGTAACATGTTTCAAGGCAAAAAAAGCTAAGACTATTGCATTTTTTTCTAAATATACTGGGAAATATATCTGGTTTCATGTGGTTACAGGGTAAGTGGTGCTTGTATAATAAATAAAGGTTTCCGAGTCAGTGATATAAGATTGTATGCATTTTTATTGTACTTTCCCTGTAACTACATGGAACAAGAGGATAACAAGCACCACTACATGAAACAAGAGTATCTTTCCCCAATATTTAAGCAAAAGTTGCAATAGTTTTCGTTTTCAGTGCACTTTTGTTAAGAAGATTACCTTATAAATGCATAGATATGTACCCTGTAATTTTTTAAAAGCCTATACAGTATGTACCGGTTCACCATTATTTTAAAAAGGTATGTTCTTGCTAAATTGCTCTCAAATGTAAGATTGTTATTTCATAATAGTAGAATAAGCACCCTTTAGTTCTTTAATACTTACAGTATTAATAATTGTTTAATTTTCCTGGTTGTTACCTCTGTATTCCCCAAACTTAAAATATTGTTCCCTTATATTGTAAGTATGTTATAGGTACACTATAATTACCGAAGGTTACGCTGTAAAATCGCTTTAATTATGCAGTACTTTCCGGGCTGTGATCTAAAGCGTTACCCATATTTATTAGCCTAACTTTCAAATAGACGAAAAAAACATGAACGTCCGATTCATTCAAAGATGAAATTGACTATCACCATCTCCGTGAACGCGCCTATAGAGAGAAATGCATGTAATGGATTACATAATCAGAGAGTAGGCCTATCCTATTTCTTTTCGTTTGTAATTGTTTCGTTTAAAGACATTTAAAGCTTTCGATATAGATATATTTCTCATGTCTGTGAGGCATACGCTGAGTTTCGGTTAATTTATGATGGGATGCGCTCCAGTTCACGTGCAATGCAAGGGACCGCGCCCGCGCCTCCATGTCATGATTATATTGTCTATTTGCTTCTTATTTATTAAAGGAGCTGTATGTAAGATTGTGGCCAAAATTGGTACTGCAATCACTTTCAAATTACTGTAGAGCTGTGTATCCCCTCCCCCTCCCCCCTGACTCGAGGTTGCCAGATAGGCTGCAGGATCCAGCAGGAACATAGGCTGCTACAAGGAGCTTTCAACTAGAGCAGAGCTGGCAACCCGGATGCCGAAACACTACTGACTTCGTGATTGGTAGATAGGTGGAGGGTGGGGCTTCAGGCCAAAACACAAGATGACAACATCAACATCAGTTGAGGGCTGCAACTTCACTTTTTAAATGACAATATCGTGGCCGTACTACTGTTGTCAGTGATATAAGTATTTGAAATGAACCTGATTTCTTAATGTCTAGAGACACATCAGTAGCCTGGCTCCGCCCTCCTACGCACTTCCGCTCAATTTTATTTTCCTTCAGTACTACGTCTGGGATTGTGCTGTAGACTTTGGTTTCCAGAAATAATTTTTTTACCGGTCCAATCAGCGAACAGAGGGAGTGTCTGAGAACGATGACGTTGATGTACTAGCGCGTCAGTTTGAGTTGGAGTTCAGTAATGGCAGCGGAGAAAGACGTGAGAAAATCTATTCGGTCCGTTGTTGCAAAACTGACGAATATCCAGAAGTTTAAGCCGGAGCAAGATCAATGTTTGCTAAGTGTTGTTGGTGGCCATGATGTTGTGGCCCTCCTCCCCACGGGGTTCGGGAAAAGTTTAATTTTCCAACTCACTCCGCTAGTGGTGAATGAGTTAGCTAAGGCGAACGATAGGATGCAAAGCCGATAGTTGTTGTCGTCTCCTCTTGTTGCACTAATGGAGGACCAAGTGAGGGAGGCAGAAAGGTTAGGAGTTGGTGCTGGGCAGCTCGGCGTGCACGATGATCACTGTACAGCATTTGCGGCAGATCCGAAACGACCGCAGCGGCGTATTGTTAATGATTACACCCAGCTTCGACAGTTGACTGAATACATCACTGTCCTTAGTGTCAAATATACATTTAGAATTTACAATTGTTCATTGAACTCTTAAATTCGATGAACAAAACATGCAGCTCTCGTTGACAGACATCTTATTCTAAACATAATCCTCTGATCATTCGGACTTGTTTTTTTTTATTGCTTAAAACAATACACAAGTAATAACAGAAAACATAATACAAAAACAAACAAAAAATAATAATAAAAACAAAACAAAAATAAAACAGTAGGGGGATAATATAAAATAAACATGAACAAGTTAAGAGAATTACATGACACTGAAAAAAGGAAAATAATTACAAACAGATAATGTTTTTAAGGCTTTTTTTGTTCTCAGACAACTTAATTGAAAAGAGGTATTTTTACAATTCTTTCACAAATATAAGAAAGAGAGGTTTAGCATTTAGATATTTAGATTTATGAATATGGAATTCGGACTTGTTGTTTCCAGCCGGTTTCGGCGCATGACATACGTCACGACCACACGTTAGCGATTGGCTATGGCAGATCCTGAGTGACGCTGGGCAGATCCAATAGTTTTGAACTTTAACAGAGAACCCGCCTACAAGGAAGTAAACGTTTCTCAATGGAGCGAGGCCAGACTCTCTGTACAAATGAAATGTACGAGAGTCTGGTAGAACCAGGCTAACACATCAGGGCAATTTTATGATTAATTGAAATACATTTCTTACATACAGCTCCTTTAAATCCAGGCAATTGGTTGATGAAAAAAAAAAAAAAAATTAAGATACAATTTATACTAAACGAAATTCACTTTAAAGAAAGGCTTTCTACAAAACAAAACTTAATTAAGTGGCCAAAATCATGTTTGACCATGTCTCCCCCCGATATATATATATATATATATATATATATATATATATATATATATATATATATATATATATATATATATATATATATATATATATATATATATGATTTGAATGCATTTTTTACATTGTTGTATTTAAGGACTGGTATTTGTATGTGTGTTATCTTTAAATTTGTTTTATGTGGTGGACAATATTGGAACGTGTCATTGGATATATTTATTTTATTTGTACTATTTAGTTTTTTTTACTATTTATTTTGTTTGGCTTTTATATATTTCATGCATTTGCACTTTTTTAATTTATATTCATTTATAGTATGAGTCCCTGATTATATGTTACATGTTCTCTTGTTGTTGTTTTTTTTTTTTTTTTTTAAAGACAAACCATCAATTTTTGGAAAAGAATTTATGGATTTATAGCGTTTTGAAAGACGTTATAGGTAAAAAAAAAAAAAAAAAAATTCCCGGCCAATGTCCGGTAATTACCAACGGAAACCCTGCCTTGAGGGGAAACCGGCGATCTCGACTCCGGAGAATATCGATATGATAAAAATACAACGTTTGAGTTTTGCCCATGCTGGTTACATTTTAGCAACATGAGAGATATGCGTGAACGGAGGTTAATCTAGCCTATAACAAGGTGATTTCAGTTTAAATTTGATTAATTGTGCAGCCTTACCTTACTGATGTTTTAGATGTTTGTTGTTTTAAATACCCAACAGAGACACACAAATTAAAAAAATTTAAAGCATTCTCTGATTTTTCAGCGTCTGCCAAGTGTCGATTTCGGAACTGTCACCCCCATAACGAAAATATGTCACGTCCGTAACAACGTTTTTTCCTCATAAATGAAAAAATGAAAAGTAAAATAAAATAAATAATTTATGTTCTATAGAGAGCCAACACTCATCCCTTCGGTTGGTATTATTTATTTTGGCTTGTGCATTTTAATTCGCAGAATTTCTACAAAGTATGTTATCTCCCACGTTTTGTCACGTCCGTAACGCACGTGTATTTCCCTCATATTAAATATAAAACGCATGTGTAGACTGATATTTTTCAATTGTCTGGACTCCTTTATTAAGGTAGTATGGACATATGAACAGACGTTTA